GGACTCCTTCTCCAAAACTGTTGCCCCTCCTCTCCCCAAATGGATGTGCTTCTAACAATTGCTTGTCTTTGACAGAATCAGAATTTTTGGTGGGAATCTTGTGATCCATGCTAAGCCTACCACTGTTTATGCCTTCTGTGCAAGTAAAAACAAATAACTATGATGCGATCATGCTTTTTGACTTCACTAGAGCAGTGAATTGCCGATTTAGGTCAACCAGATGGTCGGCGACTACTTCTTCACCTGTGACAGTATTTGGCTAGCCGACCAGTTTCGTCAGAATGTGGAACGAACAGGACAAGTCTATATCTATTACTTCGATCAACCATCAAGGTTAGGCTTCACCCTGAATTTGAAGCTTGTTGAATTTCAAGGCTTTACTACTTATATATATCCCTCGAGTCCGTCCACGATGGTTAATGTCAGGTGATGGTGCCTCAAGCAACAGTCCCAACAAGGCCCATACTTTCCATACTAATGCTGTGGAAATCATGCGTTAGCTCTAGTCAACATAAGAAGTGTCACTGAGCAAAAGAGTCACCTTGAAAAACCGCTAGGGACTTGAACACGCCTGTGCCTAACCTTAATTCTGCCTAATCCTTGTCTCCGCCCACTTGTTAGCAGGGTCAACCATACGTTGCGCAAAGAACAACGAAGAGGTCGTGTTCGGCCGACGAAAGGGGAGGGGGTCGTATCCAAAGAGACGGGGCACGGACGGCGCTTTCGCTCGACAGGATAGATCAAAATTACAACAGTTAAAAATTTTGTTACAACGTAGTGTAAAACATGGTCTGTCTCCAATGATCAAAACCACAGACAGGTGCACGGCGTATACCCGAGCAGGCGTTTTCCCACAAAAACGCCTTCTCTGTCAGCGGCCGTAAGCAGACAAACTTCCAAAGAGAATTTTGATGCTTTCAAATCAAATCTAAGCGGAACAAAGTGTAGCGAACTTGCTGAATTGAGTTCTAGAGACCCCTTAGGAAATTAAGGCAGAAGAAAGAATTTCAGGAAAATTTTACACTTTTATGAAGTACTCTTCGAGTAGATTCTAACAGTCTTTACCGCTTCTCATCACATTAATTTTGAAGGAAGTTATGGGCCTTTGAAGACTGCATAGTCGCGGTCCAGGAAAATGGCTTGAAAAAAATCAAGGAAAAAACGGAACAACGGGACTATTTTTTGAGCGAGTGATTTTTCAAAAAGTTTTAGCACTTATTCGAAAGCTCTAATCTTCTAAATTCTCAGTGCGAATCCATGGCCAAAATGGACTGGTGTCATGCATGGATATGAGATTGAATATGTATTTGGTGTGCCGATCTATAATGAAAGCGCCAAGTACACGAAACGAGAGCAAGTCCTGTCAGAGAAAATAATTCAATATTGGAGTTCGTTTGCCACGACAGGGTTAGTGCGTCAAGTAATTCAAATTGACCGTTCTGCGGTGAAAGGCATTATTTAGGGTTCCTCGTCTGAAAGATTGCTAAATCAACCGAGTATCTGGCCAGAATATGTACGGTGGTCTAAACCCACATCGAGGCGAGATAGGGGTGCCGGAAATCACTTCCCTAAAGTCGAAGTTTGCGGTAGAAAGGACAGCCCATTTAAAATCATGGTAGAAGTGGCCAGTGGTACCGAGATGAAGAAAATGCCATGAAAAACGGCCCAGAGTCCAAAAATACAACCCCTTAATTGCCCGTTGGACTCCGCACTTTTGCGTCTCTCATGTTGTGCCCTCTTGAGCTCAACGCTCCCACTCGTTCCCAAACGGCTAGACGTGCAGCGAGTGGTTTGCCGCTCGGAGGGGGTGTCACGCCTAGCGCCTCGCGGAGGACAAATGTCTAGATCGCCGGAGACATTTGCTGTGAATTGCGTGTCGGTCGCACCTTTAGGAGGTTTACCTGTCTTTCCACAAGGCAGGTTTACTCTACTTCAACTTCGGTTTATCGCATAGTCCTGAAGTTAGCCAAACTCCCTCACTTTCGCGGCCATTGACTGACGGGCCCCTCGTCTGTGTGAAATCAAGTGGCGAGTAAGCATACAAATCGCAGTTCGTGAGCGGGAGGTAAAGTATGAGGTGCAATCCGGAAATTAAACTCATTAGAGTAACTATTTCACTTTTTCCATCCAGTGTTCCTCTGTTTATTATTATTCTTCTCTTATTTTTATTCGTTATTTTATCTTAACAGGTGGATGTATCTAAAAAGGTGGATCAGCACTGTAAAAAAACCAACCCCATCTCGGAAAAAGGCTGGAATGTGATTTATGGAGGACAGCTAAAGACATGGAGTACCACGCTTACAGTAGGCCTAAGCATTCCTTTACATACTCTTTATGAGTTGTTGTACAATCTTTTTCAGAAGCCGAGTTGCTGCTTTCGTCAGCCTTCCGAATGTCGCTGATTTCGGTTTTACTCGTATTGATGCTCTCATAGCCCAAGTACAAAAAATCACTTCAAAGCTTCACACTCCTCTACGATATCGGTTCTATTATGTTATCAGAGAATCTCATTTCCTATTCATATCGTGCTGTGATTACTTGAATTTTGAATTACTGTAATTGTTTCGTAAACAGAACAATGGAGTGCTCAAGAAGGTTCTAGTTTCTAAATTACAATTAAGCGTGTAGTCATTGCATGCTTTTTAAGAAAGTAAGGAACAGGATTAAAAAGCCATAAGTTTTGCTCGGTCCTCGTAATTGGGGCATTTCAATGTGGCGCAGAAATAGGTTAGCTAATAAGTGGTAGCGAACGGTAGAGCAACCGGTGAGAAAGTATGAAAATCGCAAGAAAACATACTCAAGTGGGAAGTTTTGGATATTTTGCGGAATCCGCTTTATCCCATTGCTCGTACATACTATCGCAACAGGTTCTTCAAAAGGCACACTACAGGATCGTCCTGGTATAAGGTACGAAGAAGATCGATAGCGAGGAAAAAAGACCGAAACTCTCAAAAAATAGGATCGTCTTCTTTTACGTGGGGAGGGTCTAAGACACAGACACTGAAATAGAGATATTGAGCGCCGCAGAGAGGGAAAAGAACGGAGAGAAGCACGGATATGAGCGAGAGCGGATCAGGATTATGACGTCAGATTTAAGAGAAAATCCTGGCGCTAAGTGGAATTCCGTGTGCAACACAATGCTAAGCGTCTATTCTCGGCAACTTCGTGCGCGAGATCGGTATGGCCCGTTCTCGTGCTGAAGTCTATATTTCCAACGTTAGAGCTTCACTCACTGAATCAATCTTGAGTTGTGTCTTCACCACATATTGATGCACAGCTTTGCCGTACGTTACAATGATATTTTTAATGTAAAAAACCAATTGACTCGCGATTTGGGCAGAATTTTCACAATTAGCCGATAGATAGGATAAAAACGAATCTGTTGTTCTTGGCATTCTGCCTCGTTACTCATTCAAAACTGTTACCTAACACGACACCGGCTTATCATTTGTATAATCTCATTTTCTTCGCTACTAGGTAACGTTTTCACTTCTAAACTAATCGATAACATATTGAAGATTTTTCGAATGTCCTTTAACATGTACATAATCTAATAGTATTACTAGCCATCTGTGTGAAGGGGAGAGAAGATCTGTCTTCATTATCACATATCATGATATAGAGGTATATGATATACATATATGTAAATGAATAATCGTGATCTTGAATTCTTGCCAGTGTTTTTTTCTCTAATTTGTCGTTTAGAATGAATTCTTAAAAACATTTTTAAAAATCATGTTCGGCTCTCAATGAACTTATAGAGGGTAGTTTAATAACTCTTGTTTAACCACAGACGAAGTTGTCATTCGAAACAATCATTGATAACCGCTTCACCGGTATCGCCTTCTCTGGTAACCATTCAACAACAGTCCCAGGGCTAGCGGTCTTAGCGGCTTCGAACCACTCCCATGTGGTAAAAGATCGCAACTAGGACTAGCCCAAAAACATATGAACGTCACTGACAAAACTATCTTGAAGTCGCTAAGAAAGGGGCTCAACGCTTTCGAACGGTTTACGACGATATTGGCGGCAACGCACACATTACGCAGTCACGTTGAGCATCGCGTGATGCGCGTCCCTTGCGCGAATCGCTGTGACTGTACCAATTTCGCAAAATTGCGTTTCCCCTGTTTGAATGATGTCGCTTGCTAAATCATTATTGTATTTCTTTATTGTACAGATGTGTTGCCTCTGTTTGTATTAGTGCATATGAGATTGCAGTCGTATTTCTTGGTGACACGAGTAAGGAACAAATGCCGGCAGAGCTAGCTAGTTCGGACAACTAGTCCGACACGCTTCTCCTCTTCATTTTAAAACCGAGAAAGAGTTGTGTCGCCTGTTAAAATGGTTCGAGACGGTCTCCTTCGCATTTTTGGCTTAAGCAGTTAACTCCCCATTACATCTCATTACGAGTTTTTACTCCGCGAATTCCACGAATTGCTGCTTCAACCCTTTGTCTACTAATGGTACACATACAGTACGTTTCATAATTATAAGCCCACCCTCAAATTTTGAATTTCCAGTATAAGCAGTCAGCTAGGAATTGATCTAACGCTATCAGCATATTGCTCACCCAGAAATAACCGTCACATTCATATTTTCATTGTAGTAGCTCTTCCTTGAATTTTTTATGGATATTTTTCTGTTTTTGCAGCGTTTCATAATTATAAGCTCACCCTAACGATGTGAACAATCAAATATGGAGAACAAGAAAATTCCTGTTAAGTAACTTCTAAACGTAAGTATGTATAAAATGCATCTCTAAATCTGATTATCAAAATGGCTCGAGGTCGTCTGCTTTCTTTTGAAGAAAAAGCTCAGATTTAGGCTCTTCGTAAAGCTGGGCTTAGTAAGAGAGCCATTTCCAGACAAACAGGAAGATCCCCGTGCTCCATCCTAAAATTTTTGGAGAACCCCGGTGTCTCTGGATGTAACGCAAGTTCTGGACGCCCACGCAAGATTACTGCTCATAATGAGCGAACAATTCTGAGGGCTGTTTCCAACAGCACCTCCTCATTGAACCAGATACGATCGGAGTTAAACCTTTCCTGTGTCAAAAACTACAGTCTGGAGAGCAGTGAGGAGAAGCGAGAACATCTCTATACAAGCAATGAAGAAGGCGCCGATCGCCACAGAGAATCTCGACTTAGAATTTGCGAAGATGAACCTAGGAAGAGATTGGGCGAAGGTAAGCCTGCATCCGAGTCTCACCATTCAGCAGAATAATTTCCATTCAGGCCGTGTTTTCTGGCGAAACGAAGTTCAACTTGGATGGTCTCGACGGAAACAAGTACTACTGGCGTGACCTACGCAAGGAGCCGGTTCACTTCAGCCGTCGCAATTTTCGGTGGAGGAAGTGTGATGGTGTGGGGTGCATTTTGCAATGACGTCGTGCTCGAGCTAGCCTTCGTGAGCTGCAGAATGGACTCCAAAGATTACCAGGACGTCTTAGAGCGACATCTTCTGCCGTTTCTGAGCCGTCGATCTTAACTGTGTCTTTCAACAAGACTCCTACCCCCTCTTTCAACAAGACAATGCTCCCATTTGCGTAAGCCGTTCGACGGCTGAGTGGCTGCGATCCCAAAACGTAGGCGTCCTGCCGTGGCCAGCCTGCAGACCGATCTCAATCCGATGGAAAACATTTGGGGTCATGGTTAGAACAGGTTTATGTAAATAATCAGTTCCAGAGTACAGAAGAGGTGAAGCGGGCGATTATTGAAGCCTGGAAAACAATTGATGAACGAACTGCTTCGAAACCTAGTTTCTAGTATGCCTCGTAGACTCTTTGATGTTGCGCTCAAACAAGGAGGAGCCATCGATTATTAACTGTTGTACATATGCCATTTACATTAATAAATTGTTCATGTTCTCAGGGTGAGCTTATAAGTTATGAAACGGTTGAAAAACTGAAAAGCGATTCTTGCTTATGAAATTTCATAAAAAATCTAAGGTGAAAATTGTTGCAACCAAAACTTGGCTACGGAGGCTATTTGTGATGAGGAATCTGCCAGTGTTTGCCAGAAAAATTCCATCTTCTGCTGCTTTTTCTAGAAATGCAAAAATCGAGGGTGAGCTTATAAATATGAAGCTCACTGTATGTACCACTTCCGTAGTATAAGACACTACTTATGCTGATACAAAGTCGTCACAAATCAGGGCGAGTTCCTGGAGAAGTCAATGAAGCAAGTCCTACCACACGTCACTGGTCAGTGGGCACAGATCCCAAAATGTAGTTTCTAAGTCTCGCAGATTCTTAATAACAAGGCGATTCTGAAGGTTACTAATCAGTCAGTTCATATTTCGAAATTTTTTATTAGGGTGGAGACGTTGCAGTGAGAAGGGGAGCTGCTACCGTATGGTCCCTGGATCAAATTCCAGATAAAATCCAAGGTACAGCAGCCGAATTTCTGCAGTGATTTGTTATTAAGGAGGGATAGTTGCTATGCAAAAACACATCGCTATCACAATTTCAATAAAGTCGTAGTCCAAGTGTCAAAAGGGAATCCTTCGTGAATACACAACCAAATACCTCACCTACCTTCTCATGCTTAGACATGAATTTAACCGTCGCCCAATTTCCAGAATAAAGCTCCATTTCTTCATCA